ATCCCCGCTCGAGCGTGAAGGCCAAAATCTGGGCAACTACTCTGGTTTCTAAGTCCAACCAACCTGTAACAAACTCTCCCAACACAATCCAAGACTAAAATGCAAGGAGTAAATGATGTAAACAAGATATATACGACAACCAATTCCGCGGAACCTAAGTCCGGATATAACAATCAATGAAAAGGGGAAACCGGGATCGATATAGAAGGCGACAGCAACGGGCTCTAGGGGAGTGCGACGGAGGATCCGGATTCATTTTGGCAACGCAGACAGAAGCCACAGAGAGAGAGAGTGAGAGAGTGTGACAGATTCTTTCCTATTCCCTGACCAACTACGCCGTGCTAACTCATGTTTTGAATGAGATCTCCCGCCACTTAGCCGATGATACCCGAGTACTAACAATAAAAGACTCATTTTACCTCTCTTGCCTATGCTCTCTGCTACCCTTCCTTGTGGGGTCTTTCTACTAGTATTACCATATCTATCAACATTTTTTTTGCACCAATTTTACACTACATTTTTTTTCACCAATTTTACACTACATTTTTTTTCACCAATTTTACACTGATTTATTTAGGACTGAGCATGAAATCTGTGAAATTCATAATCTGATTCAGTTCAGTCCAATTTGATAGATTTAGATTGATTTTTTTAATCTGTGGTTCGGTTCTGGATTGAACTCCACGATTCCGAATTGGAACCGATCCAGACCATATATAAATAGTCTATATTTTTATTATACACCATACTCCATAGTATCTTCTCTTATTCCATATAAAACCTAAACCCAAACCTAAACTCGCGTAGGATCTTTTTTTATTACTTTTGTTTGTTAGTTTTTAGTTTTAATCTGTAATGGTCTTAATACTTATGGTGAAACCAGTTTTCTTATGGTTGTTTAAATTCTAGAACAATATGTCACTATTATAGAAAGATATGTTGCTATTGTGAAACTAATATAGTGTTATGTTTATGTTCTTATGAAATTAAAGTGTTATATATATTTTTTTGTTACTTAATTATGTGAATCTGTGATAATAAACCGATCCAATCCGTGTTTAAATGGATTGGTTTAGATTGGTTTCATGATTTAAACGGATTGGATTGATTTCAATTTTTCAAGAACCGTAGATAACGGATTGGTCTTGGTTTTACCTCAATCCGGTCCAATCCGGACCATGCTCGCCCCTAGATTTATTCATTTAAATATCAATTATAAAATAAATTTAATTAATCAATAACAAAAAATTAAAGCCTCATTTGACAACTCAGTGCTTTAGCCTAAAAATCAAAAAAAAATAGTAAAAAAACTAAAAAGCCAGCATTTTATACCAAAAAATCAAAAGATCTCTTTTCTCTCTACTTTTTGCACATCTTTTCATAAAAAATTAAAAAGTCATTCCAAACATACTAGTTTTTTTTCCTAAAATAATATGTTCCCAAACGAGGCCTAATTGCTTCAATAAACTCTTTTTATTACTACATAAAAAGTAAAAAAAAATAAAAAGTTCAAACAAAATTGAGTTATGAGGCAACATTACCTTCAAAATAAAAGAAATTTTTGTGTGCAAGAAACGAAATTAAAATTGAAATAAAAATACTAGGTTGTATGAGAAATTTTCATATAAAAAAAAGTTGTATGTTTTTTATTTTTTATTTTTTTTTTGTTTAAGTAGTATATTCTGTGCGCTTTCCACCTTTCTCATCATTTGGTGAAGTATCTCTGTATTTTTTTTAATGAAATTATGGCTTATTTTTTCATTCAAGGAAGAACTCTTCCAGTGTTAAGGTTTGACTCCCATGGAGCTGGACCACAAACAAGGGTAACCTCTGTGATTGTACAATTGTTGCTGTGGATTTTTTTTTATATTTAAAAATATATACATTGGAATACAAATACAACTTTTGAAATAAAATATCAGAAAGAACTTACGCACGCACGTACGTTGGGAGAGTAAAAACCCTTGATTTTCTAGTGAGATAGAAGATCAAGTGCTTCGGCTAACCGGGTATATCAACGGGGGTTATGCTCTAGCAAAGTGGGGTTATGGAGCCAACCAACCAATACTTCCTACTTTTACTTCCAGACCCCTTCATATGTATGTCCCCTTATTATATAATGTAATTTATAAAATGTTTTTGGCTTTACTAAATTTTTTTTTGGCTTTACGAAAAAATATGTATTAAAAAATTATATAAATTAGTGTATAGGAGAAGATTTGGTGGAATAGGCGGTATAGTGGGCTGAATCCAAGGATAGCGTCGGCAGAGTAGAGGCTAGGAGATGATTTCCTGCTTTTTGGGCATTGAATTGGAGGTGCTGTTTGGCCCGTGGAGGTGCTGTTTGTTTTACAGGGCGACAGCAACGGGCTCTAGGGGAGTGCGACGGAGGATCCGGATTCATTTTGGCAACGCAGACAGAAGCCACAGAGAGAGAGAAAGAGAGAGTGACAGATTCTTTCCTATTCCTTGACCAACTACGCCGTGCCACCTCATGTTTTGAATGAGATCTCCCGCCACTTGGCCGATGATACCCGAGTACTAATAATAAAAGACTCATTTTACCTCTCTTGCCTATGCTCTCTGCTACCCTTCCTTGTGGGGTCTTTCTACTAGTATTACCATATCTATCAACATTTTTTTTCACCAATTTTACACTACATTTTTTTTCACCAATTTTACACTGATTTATTTAGGACTGAGCATGAAATCCATGAAATTCATAATCTGAATTCCCTAACTATACGATCCGCTAAGACAATAAATCATACACCTAAAATTGAATTTAAATATGGTCATAACGTAATCGTGAGTCGTGAGTGAGAGATGCAGAATCAAGTATCAGATTTACAAGAGAGAGAGAGAGAGAGGG